CAACACCAAGCTGCTATTAGAATGTCTATGCACTCGTCCAGCAGGTGCGGTGCTTAATGCTGCGGCTGCTGCGCTTTAGGCAGTGATCTGATCTGGTCAGTATCAGACATGCTAGTAAGTTTATGCTTTGGTACCTAGTCCGACGGGTAGCTAAATAGACTACTCGAGGAAGAAGAAATGAGCATCTCCCCGTTCCCTGACCAACGAAACAAGTGGGCATTTTAATTCTGAAAATGCATTTGTGCCGGCATCTCGGAAATCAGCGGATGGCTGAACAAAAGACATGGCCTGACAGGTGGTAGGTACCATGAAACTTTATTGGCATAGCAAGATGTTGCGCTGTGTTCAGGGTGCAGCTGCGACAGCACCGCACCAGCGGGAGCGCTTGGTTTGTCAACCATCTGTTGAATGCTTTCCTCTGCAGCGCAGCGTGCTTTTACAAAATCAAGCCGAGTTAGATATTGTTAACGCTCAAAATGGGAAATTAGAAAGCAACTAGGAGCAAACCGCAAACCAGTGGTTTTCACAAAAAATTTGTAAGTTGGTGGACAAAGCAATTAATTTCGGAAGAAAAACAAGGCAGCGACAGACGCGGAACAGAAATTATGAAAGGAGTACACTTATCCTGTGAACAAGCTGTAGGATTCGATGCCGGAGAGGTGGCGGGATGAGGGAGGTGCTGCTGCCCGGTAGGTAGACACATTTCAAATCGGTTTTTCCTTGAACACTTTGATTTATGTGGTGCAATTTTGATTCGCCGAGAAAAGCTACTTTGACCTAGGGCGAGCAAGCTGCTCAATGCCAAGCGGCCGACACGGAACACAAGCGTGCAACTTTCTCTCAATTAGCGGCTTCCGGAAGAAAGCACCATTAAAATGGGCTAATCCCTCCGCAGAGTCTAAATCCCCATTATCATCCCTATTGCATTTAAAGCACATTTGCACCGCTACTATTTTAGCACAGGCGCTGGCCACTAATTAGTGTTAAAAAAATTCAGAAATACATGACTGCAGTTCGGCTTAAACTCAGTTTTATTCAAGATTTAAAAGGTAACATTGACTGGGGAGAGCATTTTTAAA